GGCTGAAAATTAAGCTAGGAGAGTGAGTTCAATTCCAGACCTGAAAGATGCCCGAGGACCACAGTCTCAGGTTCTTCCAGCCTCTTTCTGACCAGTAAACTTGGTATTTTTTGTAATATTGAGTATTGTTCCATATTTTCTCCCACTCTTTCCAGGACCTTCTAATGTGATCTCTTTCAGAGCAGTTGGTAGTGGTAGCTGGGCACTATCTAGTTCTTCTGGTCTCATAGTCATGGTGACTGATGTTCACATGTTCCAGTGGTCTATTGGACTAGTTGATTCCAAGGATCCTCACACTTTTTATCACTCTTCTTTCTTCTGTATTTGGGAAGATCAGTAGTTGTGCCTTAGATGGCTTCCAGGAAATAATTTTATTCCTGGTTTGTGTCTTAAACTCATGCATAATAAAGTCATGTTTGGGGTCCCTATTATACTAGTATATAATATAGAATACTTTCAGTTGTGAGTGTAATATATTTCAAACTGATGATAAAGGAAATGTGTTTCCTAACTAAATGACAAGTCTAGGGGTGGGCACATATCTGGGTTGATAGATTCAAAGAGTCAACAACATAAAAATCTCCATTTCTTTCCATCTGCTAACTGTAATAACAGTTTTCCCTCAGGCTATTAGTTCCGTAAGTTTTTACCCTCCAGTAGCAATGAGGGTTATGTACATTCTTAATCATGTGCAGCTGGCCAGAAGGTTCTGCGTGCTATGGAATAAAAGGCCCTGATTGAACCACCTGAAGCCAATCACTAGCCAGGGAAATGCCATGTGCTTATTTGTTCTTGTTAAGTGCCATCGAGTCGGTTCTGACCCATAGCGACCCTGTGTAGGGTTTACAAGGAGCAGCTGGTGAGCTTGAACTGCAACCTTGCAGTTCAAATGGCTTCTCAGCCTGGCGCATTAACCCGCAGCACCACAGCAGGACTCTGGGTTAAATCCAGATGTGAAATAAGAGATGGTCAGCTCTGCCAGCCATTTCTTCTACCTCTACTTCTAGCAGTCATTAAAGTTTCAGTAATCTCTCTCTGCACTATATTCAGTCTTCCATCTTGTCTCCTTGCCTCCATCCTTGATCCTTCACAGA